CGGAGGTCTGAGATACGAAAAAAAAAATCAAATCAATTCTTTGCCTTCTCCAGGGTCGACACGGCTCAGGTAGTAGAGTGGCTGACCCCGGTGCTGAAACTTGTACGTTCGATCCTCAACCATTGCGACCATGTCCAAGTGTCCTTCAGCAAGACCGCAGTTGCTCTTGATGCTGCGTCATCAGTGGGTAAAAGGAGCCGACGGCGTTCAAGCGCTTTGACGACCGAATAAGTGTGACTATTTGGAGAATCGGATGGTTGATGTGGAGGCATCTGTAGAGGCAAAACTGGATGCGCTATTTGGCTTCAACCACTAGAGGTGCTATTGAGCCACTCAACCAGACAGCTAACCACCATCCGTCAAAGGACATGCAAGAGTGTTCCGTCAAACTGCCGTACATGGTTTTGCAATGTGGGAGGAAATCAGAGTACCCGGTGAAAACCCACGCAGGCACGGGCGGACTCGAACCCCGCACATCTGCACTTGGAAGCCGGTGGGCGAACCAGTCGACCGCAGACAGCGAATTAAAAAAAGAGGTAGCAGCTCCATGTTTTTGGTGTGCATCTCTTCACCAAACACTTTTAATTTCAATGCACCTCGTGATCTCATGTCTTCAACTTCCCAAGGATTCCCCGGGCAACTGAAGAAGTGAAAAGACGTTGGAGGAAAAAAAAAAAAAAAAAAATTCCATTCACAGCCAATTTAAATCCATCTGTCATCCACTTCCCCAACGCGATGCGATTGCTCTTCATGAACATTTGACCTACAGCGGAAGGGCTGAGATCAATCCTCATCATAACGTCTCCTTCGCTCGTGCTGAAAAAGTCAAATTGGCTGAAGACTGGCCCCCGTCACAACAAATACACACCTGGCCAACCCATACCAGAGAAATGCACAGAAAAAAAGAATAATAATAATGAAATAAAAACATTATTACAAGAATAAACCTTTTTTTTTTTTTTTGAGAACAAAAGCTGTATTTGCTCAAGAACATATCCCCAGTTCGTTCAGAATAAAGTGGTCTTTTCTGGAATCAAAGGCATAATATAATAATAATAATAATGAAATAAAAACATTATTACAATAATCAACCTTTTTTTTTTTTTTTAACAAAAGCTGTATTCATTCAAGAACGTATCCCCAGTTCGTTCAGAATAAAGTGGTCTTTTCCGGAATGAAAGGCATAATATAATGAGAATTGTATCTTTTTAAACATGGTTGTCCCTCATTAAACCTTCATTATTCTCATAAGGTTCCAACTTCATACCAACAGAATGAAACTTTGTCATTCCCAAAAAAATTTTTATCCATAACTTTGTCATTTTTTTTTCTCCAAAAGATGTAAAATTATCGAAACACTGCATTTTTTTTTTCGTTAAAATAGGCAACTATTTGAATTCATTCAACACGTTGGGGTACCCATCGCAGTTACGCAATGGAAACATTTCATAACCCAAAAAGTTTGAGCATCTCCTTTTTTTTTTTTTGGTTAAAATAGGCAAATATTTGAATTCATTCAACACGTTGGGGGAACCCATCGCAGTTACGCTGAATTGGGTTTGCGATGGAAACATTTCGTACCCCAAAAAGTTTGAGCATCTCTCCACTAAAGTCTAGTCTTTGCTTTACATTCAGTGTCCTGGAGGGGGAAAAAAATGAAAAGACTCCACACGCTCTCTCTCGCAGAGATGTACAGCATATGCATGCATGAAGCAGGTGTTAAAAAAAATATATTTCCTGGGGAAACATAAAAATTGCAGCCAAGCAAGCTCGGCGGCTTGGCGCTGCAAGTGTGACCCTTTGACATGCTGAACAGGCACACAAAAATCCTCATGTGCATGCTGGCCCAGGCTACTGTGAGGCGGCAATTCAACGTGCCGCAAGACAACCACACACACACACACACACACACACACGTGCTGGTCCTCCCTCAGTTTTTTTGTTTCCTCTCTCGCCCGCAGCCGGACGCGACTCATCCCGGAAAGCCGTTCACTCGTGCAGCTCCCCCCCCCTTCCGCCTCAACCGTGCAGCCACTTGTTTGACGCAAGCATCATCGGCGCCCGCCACTGCGCACGAGCTGTCACTTAAACAACCTCCGAAGCTTCAAAGGTCAACACGCTTCATTTGATCGTGTCAGAGAAGGAAAAGGCAGCACTGAGTAGCGCTTTTGTCGTGGTTGCCTTGACAATCGAAGTTGATCCGCGGTGCAATATTGGCGAGGCAGACGAGAGTGAATGATGAAAAGTCTGACTTTCGTGCAGATATGGCACAGGGTATCTCAGACGGGGGTGGACACGTTTCTTGACTGCTCATGTCAATCATGCAATCGTTCTCAGGTGCCACTGCCCCTTCCCAAAAAAAAACGTTTCCGTCTCCATCGTCCAGATGCCCCAACGCAAATGCATTCCCAGCTGCCATGCATGCGAGGCATGATAGTGGAAGGTGACAGAGGCAGAGAGGTGCATAGCGCCACACCGCTGCTGAGCACCAAGCAAATTCATCATTTTGTTATTTCTGTACAGCAGCTGCATCTTAAACTCCACCGCCCCCCCCCCTTTTTTTTTTTTTTTTTTTCCCAAGTGCACCTGCGGAGAGAGTCGGGAAAAGTTGACCTCCACCCCATCCGCTGTAACTCGTGCACAGTGGAGCTTATTTTTTTTGAACGCACCCGCGTGTGTTGGAGGAGAGGGTGGGGTGCGGTGTGAGCTATACGGGGTTGGTGTCAAGTTGGTTGCTTACCCACGGCTAAATCCAGTTGCGCGCACAGGAGCAAGCACAGCGAGAAGACGCGCATCATTGCTCCTTGGTTGCGTTAAATCCCAAACTCCTCTGGCGTTTACATGCTCCTCCGGATGACGCGGCCGTGCGGTGCCCAGCATTCCAGACGTGCGCGGCTGCAAGGTACCCCCGAATTAGAACTAGTAGTCATGATGCAAGTCCAAGTGCAGGCGCGGGCGGGCGGGCGGGCGCAAGTTGCGCACGGATGCGAGCATGCAAGGTGTCGCCCGTGTGCGAAGGGGAGGGGGTAAAAAGACGGAAGGGGCGGGGGTCCAAAAGAAAGATGTTCAGACTGGTTTTGCTCCACGGTGTGAGTCCGCTTTCAACAAAAGGCGGCTGAGGCGAGTGGAGCCGCGCGGCAGTGACAACGCGAGCAGAGGTTGGGAGGAGGCGCGCTGCTCTCTCGCTTGCTCGCCCTACTCGCCCCCCTCCCGGTCT